GGATCCGAACCCATGGCCTTGGTGTTATCAGCACCACACTCTCCCGAGTGAGCCACGGGGCAGCCCCCTAAATTTCATTTCTTTATAAATTACTTTTTTTCAGATATTCTGTCATAAGCAACAGAAATGAACTAATACAATTTCTAAAGCACAGTCCCAGGCACAAAGAATGCTCTTGCGTGTTAGCCTGACATTGTCACAATCAAACATACACACAGCCTTACAATTCACACACAGGTTATATCTGTATATGTTAGGACACTTATGCTTCTACCTTATATAGTAATTATTTGTGTGGACGATAGGCTCCTTTGAGGTAGGAGAAATAAGGTGTAGTGAAAAGAAATGGGATTTGGAACCAAAGGATTTGGGTTTGCCCTTTAACAAGTTGTGTGGCTGAGGACACGTTACTTTTCTTCCCTGACCTTTGCTTTCNCTCTTGTCCTAGTCCTAATCTTTGGCTCCTCAAGGGCTGCTGGTATTTGTGTTCTCTTTGGAAGCCCGCCAAACCACCTTGGACATTCAGGCACAAGTTGGGACTTGGTTTGGGGGGGATTGCAGTATAGGGCCAGTCTGTTGTTCCCAAGGAAAAGGCTGCCAACGGATGACAGGCTTCACTTTCTCAGGAAGCTGCTAGCTTCCAGCCTTAGGGATTTAGAAAAATCTCCCTCAAAGTGAATACTTGCTGGGCCAGCCTGTGGCTCACTCGGGAGAGTGCGGTGCTGATAACACCAAGGCCACGGGNGAAAAAAAAAAAAAAAAAAAAAAAAAAAAAAAAAAAAAAAGAAATAATATGGCGGGCTGGCCAGTTAGGTCAGTTGGTTAGAATGTGGTGTTATAATCAAGGTCCCAGGTTTGGATCCCAGTACTTGCCAGCTGCCAAAAATAAATAATAAATACATAAATAAAAATATGTGTGCTCTGGATTGAATGTCTCCCCCAAACTCACTGAATCTTAAGAAGGTGGGAAATCCTTTTATGGTAATAGAAAAGTGGGGCCTTTAAGGGGTGATTAGATTGTGAGGACTGCACCTTTGAGAATGGATTAATCCATTGATGGTTTAATGGGTGTAATGTGTGTGGTTCTGTTGGCTTTAAAAGGAAAGCAAGTGAGGAGGTTAGCTCTCTCTTGCTCAGTGCATTCTCACCATGTGATACTCTGGCTTGAAGAACGCCCTCACCAGACGTGTTCCCTGGACCTTGGACTTCTCAGCCTCTGAAACTGTAAGAAATAAATTTCATTTCTTTTTTTTTAAAGATGACTGGTAAGGGGATCTTAACCCTTGACTTGGTGTTGT